TTAAGTGAAGTTCAACGGAAGATAAATAACAAATACAAAATATAGGAATTCCACAGGTAAGAAATATCCAAAATCAGAAAATCGTCTTCCAAAATACAGTTCGAATACAAAAATACGATAAGTAATCCAAGATTCTTCTTTCAAGAAGGTTAGTGTTATAAACGATTAAATTTCCAAACGTTTCTTTATTCTTCTTAATAATCCGACTGTAATTGGTCTTCTGATCAAAAGTCGAGCCAACTTCAGACTATAAATGGATTTTCTACCGTAGCAGTTCAAATGGTTTCCAGTAAGTGTAATCCGAACGCGTATCTCCCAGTCCAATGTCCAAAAAACACAACAATTCTAGGAAAAAAACGGTCTATATTATATTAAAAGATGGAAATACAAAGCAATACCTGAAGTTGATGCACTTTCCAAGGCACAATTACTCCGAGGAGTATCCAAGGCAAAGGGGAATAAGTGACGTTAAGTCCAACCGCCACAGTATCAATCCAAATATGGCTGTGGCCATATTGAAGATCAAATTTAAAAAACATATCTACAGTTCAGAAGCAAACATAAAAACTTCAATGTAAGTACAAAATATAGAAATAATAACAATATACAATGATAAAACCTCAAATTGGAATCAAATAAAATACCAAAATGTCAACAGAAAAAGTCCGTCATGTCATAACAAAAATATGTAAACATGGAGGGATTTTCCGAAAAACAAAACATTCAAAAAAGGATTCTACAATGTGTGCCTTAAAAATTGTCATACATCTCTCAATTAAGGCTTTGGCCACTGTTTTAACCATAATGACCGTTAAAGAAATGACTACTGGGGAACTTATCCGTTTATTTATACTTGTAAGCACATAAACAAAACCGTTTCAACATGGTAAAGGACCCACCAAGTCAACTTGAACGAAGCAAAACCCACATCTTTCTTTGGAAGAACTCGAATAAATGAAGTCATAGTGTGGGTTCTTTATCAGCTTATAGATTTCAGTTCCTTCAACGCTTATTTTATGTCCGAAGATCCGAAGTCTGAACACAAGGAACCGAAGACAGTTCTCAAAAGTAAGTTCCAAGCCTTAAACAATCGACCAGAAGAAGAGAGAACTACCATGAAGAACTGAGGACCTGATACAGCTATAACTACATAGATACATGGAATGTCCGCACAATATGGGAGGCCGGGAGTACGAGTTAAGTTGCTGAGCAAATGCAAAGATACAATATGGAGGTATTTGGAATAAGTAAAACCTATTGGACACAAACTATACAGAAAAGATTAGCTTCATGAAAGATTCTGATGTACTCCGACCATAAAAATGCCTCACAAACAAGGAGTTGAGTTGATGCAGTCTGAAGAAGCACAGAAAGTACTTATAGGATGAGGATCTCATGGACCCAGGATCATAGAATTATTTAGAACGAAGAGAATTGTAATGAATGACATCTAGTGCTATACACCCAAAAATAAAAATCAGCTTTACGAGATGCTGTCAGATAACATCGTAGAGAACCAAAATGATCACATTCACATAAATAAAAATTTCAGAAGGAATGCGGAGAACGTAAGAACACAGAAAGGAGCTGACACGATTTTATAACAGTTGGTGTTAGCCAAGATGAAATTGAAGCTAAAGAAGCACTGCAAAACTGGGCAAGTAGTATTACAGAAGTTTGACATGGCCTTGATAAACTCAAAGAACTCAAGACTTCTCAAAAAGTAAGTTCCAAGCCTTAAACAATCGACCAGAAGAAGAGAGAACTACCATGAAGAACTGAGGACCTGATAAAGCTATAACTACAAAGTTTTAGGTGCTAGGTCACAAGAAGCATCAACATAACGAGTAGGTCTCTGTTAATACTCTGGATAAGATCTAGGAAGAGAACAGAAAGAAAGCAATCAACAACAGTTAAAAAAGAGCAAAGAAGTTCAGAGCACAGGCTGAATACACAGAAGAGAACAAACAAGTGAAGTGGAGCATTAAAACTGATCTGTGAAAATAAATGGGAGACCTGGCAATCAAAGGCGAAAAAGCTGCAAGAGAAAGAAATGTTACATAACTATGCGATACAACAAAGAGGCTCGCTGGAAAATATCGTAAACCAGAACGATCAGTGAAAAGCCAGAAAGGCAAAATAATCACCAACATTAAAGAACAGTGAAAAAGGTGGGTAGAGAGCTTCGAAACACTCTTGAATTGACCAGCACCACTGAACCCACCCAACATCGAAGCAGCACCCACAGTTGTTGATCCACCCACAATTGAAGAAATCAGTGTTGCCGCAAAGCAGCGGGATCGGACAACACTCTAAATGAGGCACTGGAACCAGACATAACAGTAACTGCAAAGATGTTCCACACCCTGTTCGGCTAGGTTTGGCCAACGGACTGAAAAGAGGGATACCTCATCAAGTTAGCACAGAAGGGAAATCTCTCCAAGAGTGATAGCTACAGAGGCATCACTCTACTCTCAATACGAGGGAAAGTCTACCATAGGATGTTGATAAACCGGATGAAAGATTCAGTAGATGGACAACTTCGAGACCAGCAGGCCCCATCGAGTAAACATCGATCGTGTAACAATCAAATACTGACACCACAGATCATTTTGAATCAATGATCTGAATGAAATTGACCAGATTCCTGCGAGCAAGAGATTAAGAAATATGTCTGGAAATGAATAGGTGACACGTTTAGTAAAGCACTTATCTACCTCACAAGACAAGCACTTGCCTGTAATCCTCAAGGCCAGGGAAATGGAGGCAGACTACATAAGAATGAAGAAAAACTGGACAGAACTAGAACAAAAGTTGCAGGAAATATTAAGTTCCAGATTACTGTTTAGCGGCTTACATTCACTTTAGGGTAATAGGTTCTCTTTATGACCTTTCTTGACTATGGAGACAGAAAATTGTACTTAGACTGTAGTGTCTCCACTTTTATGAAGTCAACGTGATTGTTTTGATAGAAACATTTATTATTATAGCCAATTGTACCAGTGATTGTTTTACTCTACTCTTCATTTTACTGTACTGAAAACACCCAATTTCCGTTCTTATGGCCCTAATCTCGCTGTTTGTATTCACGGTAGTCTCGCCTGTATCGTTTGGCACGGGATACCTAAGAAATGTACGTTCATTCCTACATACAACCTTCTTGGTTTCCGTTCCATGGAGGGATTTTACCTGATAAGTAGAACGTAATTGGTGGTAGTGGTCATCATAGTCAACAGCTACTCGACTACGAATAGATTTCCACCTGTTATGTTCAGCAGACAAGTTAGTTGGAATGTTCCAGTAAGTTCATACGGCCAACATTAGTGATATATTGCAGGTGGTTATTCAGCATATCTACAGATGCTGATAACTCATAATTATCGAGTTCTTTAAATTAGTTGACAGGAGATTCCACAGCTTCAAAGATTTTACGGTTTTCAAACGGTTTAATACAGATACTGTTTTCCCAACGTTCAACTTGCCAATCCCGTATCAAGATTAAGATCTTTTGCCTAAAGAGCTCCTTCGTATCGTTTGTTGTAGGGTTCATGATTGGGGTTTCTGTGAACTCCATGGATAGATAATTCTGTTTTGAGCGGTCTAAACCTTTTACACAGTACAGTGCATCACTTTGGTGAACATTCTAGTAGTTTTTATAACTTCATCCTCAGGGAATCTTAGCTTTCTCTTGTCGGTGTACGCTGGCACTGAAGACACACATAATGCATTGACATTATCAACTGGTTGTAAACCATCTCTGAAGCAATTAAATGAAGTTGCTACATGGCAATAATGGTGAGGTGAAATTGTTTGTTTTACATAGTGTAGTATGTTTTACGAGCCATAAGGCTTGCCATGCCTCTTGGGCAAGCCGATTAGCTCTGCAGTTAAGTTTCAGGGTATAAAAACCGATCATGTATATACTTTGTCGTCAGGACATCTCTAGACTCGTTAGTCCTGACGATTAGACACTATATCTATGTGGAATGATGCTCAGCACTACTTTCACTCGTATTTACTACGTATTATACGTGATTATATGTATGCTGGAATCATGAGTTTGCACCGTAACATAGACTTAGGCATAATTACTTTTACAAAGACTAGCTCTCTCCTCCCCCAACTTTTTCATGAGACAAACTTTCTACTCTGTTGCTTATTTGCTCGGAGCTAGCCTAGAGCGTCAATTGCACGTAACACATACATAAACAACATAGGAGCGACTAAGCCTATCTTATTCAACCGCCCGAACGAGCTAACGAGACAGTCCTGCTTTCCGAAAAGCCTTATTTGATTGGAGTGGGTCGGGGCATTTACCCGCGAGTATATGAGATAACGGCTTTAAAACCCTTAGGAATCATAGGCGTTTACTCATCACTCATGGCACGATGAAAACGATACCACGAATAAATCACTTTTCTATAGTAAGCAGCCAAAAAATGGGTGAGCTATTACTTGAGAGATGCAGAAGTTTTGGTTCAAGATGTGTTTAAGCATATAATCGCCAACTAAAAGTCTGTTTGGATAGAATACTACACCTGGAATACCAAAATTGATTATCACTAACATAGTCAAGCTCCCCGGTTTGAAAACATTGATAATACAAATTTGGCTATCCTAGAACCAAGCTATATGAGAACACAAAGAACTAGATGACAGTGATTGGTGGAAACGCCATTTCCATTTGTAGGCAGAGGTAGAAGAACATCAGACATATGCGTTTCATTTGATCTGAGGCAACTTGTAAGTATAGGTCATCATTAAATGCTCTTAGCCGGGAAATAATATGGTAAAATGAAGTGAGTCAGAATCGATGTATAATGACTACAAAGTCACTTACTTTAAGCTATTGGCTACCAACACACACCTAATACGACAGTTAATGAACGCTTTCGATAAATATTTATCAACTTATAATCTAGATCTATGTAATATGGGTCGCCTATTTCTTCTGTATAAGAGCAACCTTTGGAATTAAATGTAAGAAGTCAGGTCACTTTATTTACTCCATTATAACAAGTTGGGAGCGGCATATTGAACCGTGCTTAGATCGTACTGTGGGTTTGTCCGCACGTTTTTTATTTTCCTAACATGTCAGAATATGGCGAAAAAGACTTATGACGTGTTGTTTAAACTTCTGCTCATTGGAGATTCTGGTGTTGGTAAAACCTGCCTGCTTATTCGTTATGTTGACAGCTCTTTCACATCGACTTTCATTTCAACGATAGGAATCGATTTCAAGATCAAAACAGTTACTTTAGAAGGGAAGACAATAAAGCTTCAGGTAATCAGCATGTTAGGGATGCTTATCAAATAAAGATATGGGATACTGCAGGTCAGGAGCGTTTCCAAACGATTACCTCTTCTTATTATCGCGGTGCTATGGGTATAATGCTGATATACGATATTACTAGTCGCCGGACGTTTGATAACATTCAGCGCTGGATGGATAACACCGTCTCTTTGGCATCAGATATGGCTGAGAAGTTGTTGATTGGTAATAAGCGTGATTTGGAAGATCGCCGAGTTGTAAGTTATGAGGAGGGTTCAAAAAAAGCAAGCGAACATGGGGTAAAAAAAGTCCTTTAATAATCTCTTTTAGATTAAGTTTTTTGAGACCAGCGCAAAATTATCACTAAACGTCGACGAAGCTTTTACGGAATTAATTCGCGCCATCCTCCACAAAACCTCTATACGTGGCCATGAACCATCTACAGTGACCCAGAGCCACAGGCTAGTCGATCCCCCGAATTCTGTATCTGGATCATGCTGTAGTACAGGATAATTTTTCTACCGATTACTTTCCCCACCGTTTTCTTTTCAATGCTAACTTGTTTATAACAATGTTCATAAAAATTGTCGTGATACACCATAAGATTTACATTTCCGGCTGTCAAAAGACACAGATTTTTGATTTCTGTTGTAATTTTGCTTTCTTCATACTCTGGATTGGTGCTTTCACGTTTGGTTCTGACGATGCATTAGCGTTATCGTTTAAATTCATTGTTGTACCCCACTACATGTTTTTTTCTTGTCACGAAACCTCCAAAGCCACGTAGTCATCATTTATTTTCTCAATGTAAATATATATCGATCCTTACATCTGATTTTTTGTATGCATAAAACAATTCATCTGTGCTTGTAGGCTTCGAGTCCATGAATATTCATTTTGTTTCACTTTGTGTTTCTTGGAATTGTACCCAGATTACTTCAGTTTAATGACTTTCCTACTCATCACCTACTTTCATAATCCATGTGGTGTATACGCTGATTTTTGAGGGTTGTGAAACTAACCTAACACAAATTATTCGAACTAGTTATTTCAGTAATCTTATGGTTTCTCGTGTCTGATGTAGGTGAATTTAAGGTGGATATGCGACATATGCTCACCATCATAGAGTTTATAGACTTAAAAATATACCTGGTCCAAACAAATTACAACATAATTTTTCAGCAGGACAAAATCAGAAAGGTAAAGTTATGGCAAATCATAAAATTTTTGCTTCATACTATCCACTTAAGTTGGAAGAATGCTAGAGGCGACCAAGCCAAAACGTGGCATGAATTCACTGACAACTGCACTGTCATATCGGTAAGTGTTGACTGCCTGGTTGACAGTTCCATTTCTCTCTGATCATATGGTATGGCAACATGAACTGATGTACGTACGTACGAAGTTCTATGTTTTAGACGGATTTTATTTCTAACTACATCTGATAATGTTGGTAAAATTTGGCATGAAATTTATTGGCGAAATGTTTATGGTGTAACTGTAACATATTTGTTAGTTTCCTATTTTGATATGTCTCTAGTTTACATGCTAAAATCTAGGCTTATAAATCTGAGTATCTGTTCACATCGGTATCTTTGGTGGTATGATTAAATTTTCATTTATCAATGCGGTCAGAAATTACAGATAAGACATTTTTTTAATGAATTTGTTAACTCTATTTACAATTGAAGAGTATGTTTTCCTGTTGTATTTGCATATCTTATTTGTATCACTAAACATGGCGAAACCAGCAATTAACTAAGTTCCTGAAAATCAATCTTTTTGTTTGAAAGTATGGTCTTAGATATTCTGCCTTCGAAACTCCTCATTGATCTTCCGTTACCCGTTGAGATTCCTATCTTAAATTTTTTGAATAATTCCTACAGATTGTGTTCGCAGCAACCAGCTATGTAGCCGAGTTGTTTAAAAATTTTATTCGGAGACTAACTTGATCAAGACATTTAAATCTAGGGTCTTGCACCTCGAATAAATTGCTTCTAATATAATTTAAATATATAATAACGTAATTGTATTGTTAACTTTATCCTGTTGTTTGTACGCGCACTGATGTACTCCTGATAAATGCAAAAATACCCTACAACAAATTTTCTTTGGATGTCTTTGATTGTAATATTCTTGCTATCATGTAGACTGATAGTAACAGTTAACGCATGTTTTTCAAGTTAAATTTATAAAACATAGTTTCCTGGTCATCTGGAAGTATAGGAAAAAGCATTTTTTTAGTGATAGGTCTGCAGTATAATCACTTTGACTTGCATTTCAGTTTCGAACACGAAGCAGAATTTCGGTGTCAGCATTTGCTATGTATTTTCATGGTTTTCACTGTTATTACGTTATTATGTATTCTAGTACCACTAAAAGCTAATTTTGTGGCAATATTTGAAAGCTACTTGTCGGTAAAATTGGGAATAATATTCTATTCCGACCAAACAAAATAGAATTACGATAAGAGTATTCATAACCTTTAATAAAATTCCTATCATACCAGTCTTCTAAACTATGCAAAATGAAATTAGATGTTTCCCTCATTGTGCACATGTCCCTCCCTATTGCTTTATTCGTTATCAACTTTCTTGTATTGTAGTGTGTTACTCGAATCGCACTAAGGGCGCTCCTTTTCAATCCTTAGACGTTAGGGTTTATGCACTCACAAATATATGGATAAATATTCATTATCATAATGACAGTGGGTAGAGATTTTTGTTCCGATCGAACTGTCACTGGAGCAATGCTTACATTGTTATTAGTACTGAAAATAGTAACTGAAAATACATTCCGACTTAGCGTATCGCAGGATTCTTTTTACACGTGTTTCTTGTAAAAACCAATAATACGCCGATGACATAGTCTTATTCGGTGAAGACGCTGACAAAATTCAGAGTCTTCTGACCACCCTAAGCAACAATGCAAGCATGTTCGGGATGCGGTTTCCCCCCTCGAAATGCAAAACGTTGCTTCAAGATTGGGTTGCATCGGTCAGTCAGTCAGATTCAACGTAGAACTTCGTACGTAAGTACATCAGTTCATGTTGCCATACCACATCAGCACAGAGGTATAATTGTCAATTCAAATCCCATAATAGTAAAGGTAGTAAGGGAATTAGAAGTAATCGGAGAGGTTAGGGTTAGAAGATACTATTCAAGAAGTAGGATTCAGTGAGAAAAGTTTAGAGAGTCGAAACTAGAGGTGTTGAAGAATCCAAAAGATTAGGGTTTGAGAGAATACAAAGAATAAATGCACCGGCGCCATTGCGAACGATTTTGAGCCATGTCATTCAAGGTCTCTAGCCATCGATTATTATCATCTCGCGGACCCCAACCAGGTAGTCGACAATTACCGATATGGCTCAGTCCACTCGTCAATGACTTCATGGATTTGTGCCATGTTTTGGTCTGGCCACCCCTAACTTTCTTTCAACCCATTCCTACACTACAAAACAAAGTTCATCGAGGCAGTCGGTGGTTCGGCACACGTAACACATGTCCCAACCACTGGTACCGGAACTAGTGATAGTGAGTGAAGTAGTCGAGCGTGTAGACCGCTTCACTTATCTTGGGAGTTTCACCAGTGCTGATGGTCTGGTGACTGACGTAATCTCAGCTCGGATACAGAAGGCTCAATTGGCTTTTGCCAACTTGCGTCACTTATGGTGCAGGCGAGATATCCGCTTGTTAACCAAAGGACGAGTGTACTGTGCAGCAGTTCGCTTCGTCCCACTACATGGCTGTGTACCATGGCCAGTCAGAGTAGAGGATATTCGTAAGTTACCAGTTTTCGAACATAGGTATCTCCGAATGATTGCTCGTTTATCTTGGGACAACCGAGTAAGCAATGCTGCCGTTGGGAAACGGATACTAGGTAAGGATGGCAGATCAGTAGATGAAGTATTCAAATTTTATCAGTTGAGGTGGTTGGGACATGTGTTACGTATGGCTAACCACCGACTGCCTCGACGAGCTATGTTTTGTGGTGAAGGAGTAGGTTGGAAGAAAGTTAGGGGTGGCCAAACCAAAACATGGCACAAATCAATGAAGTCACTGATAACTGGTTTGAGTCATGTTGGTAGATATAGGCTACCTGTTTGGGGTGCGCGAGACGAAAGTCACCGATGGTTACAGACCCCGACCGTAGTTGATACCTTGACGTAGTGGTCGTGCTTGACTATCGTGATTACCCAACCGAGCTATATTGGCTGGAACATATGTTCCTGAAGGTTCTACCATGCCAGTCTGGTCGATTGGAGAACAATTAGACTAAAAGCAGCTACTCAAGGTCTGAGGGCGAAGTCGTACTGCTGACTGCAGAGGGGTGTGACAGCAGTAAGGTGTTTCCCTCGGAAAACCAGCATCTGCAGCGATGCTGTCTTCTCACAAGGAAGGAAGGGTTAGAAAAGGTCGACCCTAAAAATGTCACACCCCACCCTACCTCACGGATTTCCGTCTCCGTCGGTAAGGGTGCCTACTAAGGGCCTTGAATGAGCGGAGCTAATACTAAGAAAACCTTTCATCAAAAGGCCGTGCGTGACCAGCTTCAAGCAGTTGTCCCTTTGGGTCTGCGGTCATGCTCTCAGGTCGTTAAAACCAACGCTAATCTACCTACTTTTTCAGGTTCCTCAGGAAACAACCTTCCACGGTGTGGGCAGCCGGGAAGTGACAACCGCCCTCATATCCGTAATAGCACACGAGAGCAAATTGGTCGAAATCAAATCCTTCCTACACCAACACGCACCTCTCTTATCTCCACGACTAACTCTTCTCACATTCCTTTATCACACTGCACAGCTAATGCAAACGATGCGAGTTCACGAAACGTCATTCCTGGTTTCCTTAAACCCCATTCTAGACTACATGTTGGAGTATTTAATGTACGTACATTATGTCAAATAGGGCAACAGGCTTCGTTAGCTAGAACATTAGAATCTCGCTCAATCGATGTATGCTGCGTCTCGGAAACGCGCATACAGGATCCTAGTAAAGTCATTAATCTGATTTCGCCTTGTCAAAACAAAGAAGCAGCCCGATTTACTCTTCGTGTATCCGGTAGCCCTGATGCTGGTTCCAGGGGTCTCGCTGGTGTAGGTATAGCATTGAGTCGTATGTCAGAACTATCGCTCCAAGACTGGAACCCTGTAGATAGTCGTTTATGCGCCGTCCTACTAAACGGGACAGTAAGGACTCGGAGAGATGGGGACACTCGCCGTTGCCTCTTCGTCGTATCTGCCTATGCCCCCACTGACTGCAGTTCAGACGAGGTGAAAGATGAGTTCTAGAGAAAGCTTTCAGACCTCCTCCAAAAAGCTAGGCGCTCTGATATAGTAATAATGGCTGGTGACTTCAATGCTGAAGTGGGTAGACTAAGTGAAAAGGAAAGACACCTGGGTGGATGTTATGGAGTCGCGACTCAGAGAACAGACAATGGCGACTGTCTGTTGCAAGTTTGCTCAGATGACCGCCTATTTCTGGCAAACACTAACTTTAGGCATAAAGGAAAAGCATCTGTTGACCTGGCGACCTCCAAAGTCGTCTCAACGTTGGACCCAACTAGATCACATTTACATCAGCCACCGATGGAGGTGTTCGATAGAGGACTGTCGCTCGTTCTGGGGAACATGTTTGGATTCAGATCATGCCCTGGTGCGAGCGCGTATTTTTTTGAAGCTTACTGGGCGTAAGAAAGCCTCTTAGGGTTTTACTTAATCATAATAAGGCGAAGAATATATTTCAGGAACAACTAGAAAGACAGTTAGGCGACCATTTAAACGATTCCTATCCGGAGGCAGGTTGGAATGATATCAAAAAGGCTGTTGAAACAGCAGTGATATCTGCTACTAAGATAAACCATAAGGCTAGG